AGGGTCTTGCACAGAGCAACTGGGTACTCATGGCAGTGGGGACCGGAGCGTGAGCACCAGGATAACCCACGTTCACACTCATCCCTGGTTACTGGTGGCCCTGCTACCCCCGGGGGCTTGCTAGCTGGTCCCAAATCCCTTCTTCCCCTTCGTCTGGGCAGCATCCAAACATCCCCAGCAACGCCGTGCTCTCAAACCGTGTGGGTGCACCTGGCTGCATCCCCCTGTGAACAGAATACCCAGATCTGCTCTCTCGCTGTTGCCTGGAGAGCTCCTGCAACTTCCCTGCCCCCATCCCTGTGCATTCCATGGCTTGCCATCGTCTCAGTTGTCGAATGAGCCCTAGCTGCTGTGCAACAACAATATACCTAAGCCTTCTGCCCTCCTGTAGGTTACACAGCCAAATACTTGGTTTACTTGCTTGATTACAGTTACATACCATGATGGCAATTTTTTTTTTGCTTGCCTGACCGCGTACTTGCTGTGTGTGGCTTATGGACCCAACATACGCACTTCTTGTGATCTGTGTTAAAAAAAAAAAAAAAAAACAACAGGCTCAGGTGGAAAGAAAGGCTGCTGAAGAGGATCTGTCATAAAAAAGACTGAAGGAGCTTGCACAGTCTAACGAAGCACCAAGTGCTGCTTTATGTGATGATTCTATAAATACATTCAGGGATGTCGGGTAAATACCGGGAAGTAAGAACTATTTGTTAGAATAAAACATTAGCACAAGATCAGAAGGTTACAAATCAAATGTGAACTTATTTAGATTGGAAACTAGCAGAAAGTTTCCAAACCATCTATGAGAACACAAAACATCTGGACACGCAACAGAGCTGGAAGAGGCCTCCTGGGTCACTGGCTGCAGCGGGCTCCACTCCATCTTAAAACTGATTAGTTTCTCATCAGTTCCTCTGCTTTCAAATCAGTTTCCTGCTCTTCTCCCATCCACCTCCATACCGCACACCCGGCGGAGCACTTTTCCCTCTCCTCACCATCGATTTCCCTTGCCTGGGCCGGGCGGGCAGGCCGGGAGGCAGCCCAGCACGCCGTCCTACCCCCGCCACTGCCTGCCCTCCTCCTCAAGCATCTCCCCAGCCGAAAGCCGTTCGCCCTCACGCGCTTCGCTTGGGGTCGTGCCCTGCGAAAGCACAGCTGCCTGGGCGGGCGGCGGAGGCGAGCGCGGACGGGGGCACCAAGGCTTTGCTTCAGCTGGGTAGGTTCCCAGTTTAAATCACTCTACATTCCCAGGATGTAGAGAGGGAGAATGACCCGGCAGCGCTGCCAGCAGCCCCGCCGGCGGAGGGGCCGGCTGCCTGCCTGCCCCCCCCCCCCCCCAACCCCGAGCTGAGGGATGCGGATCCATCACACGGGGCAGGAGCGCGTGAATCACAGCTCTCAGCTCCTCGGCGAGGGGGAAGGAGCCCAGTCCCCCAGCACCCTGGTAGAAACGTCTAATGAGTTACAACAGAGGGATAGATATGCATACTCAGGGACTTCTCTACAGAAGCATAAAGGAAGGAAAGCCAAATATTTACTTTAAATAGCTGTGCCATATGCTGATGAAATGCTAATCTGCACAGAAAAAAACACACTGTAAATAAACTCCCCAGAAGTACCTCACATTCACCGAGCTTCATCTTTCCGGGCAAACTAGCAAGAAGAAAATAAAATCCACAGCATCCATTATAGACTCCCTTCCATAAGAAATTCGGGCAAGCTTAGGATGACATGGGCCAGTAATTTTCAAACTATCACCTGCAGCCCCCGGGAGCACCACAGGCTATTTGTTAAGGGCCTGCAGAAGGTATTTAAGAAAAACAAACTCGCTGTGTTTAATTCACAATACAGGGATCTTCGGCCTCAGCAGAAAAAATGCTGGGGGGCTGCAAATCAAAAGCGACTGAAAAATACTATTTACACTTTAGGATCAGGAAGTGGGAGTCAGAGGGAGAGTTTTCTCTCCTCCACCAATCCCAGGACCTTGGTTGAACGACTTCACTTCCACCTCTCTCCTCATTCTCCTACCACCTCAACTCCCTGTGCGCATTTGCAGCATCTCTTCTCGTGCATCTGAACAGCGCCCAGCACGACAACTCCCCAGGACCCTACAGAAACACACCACTGTTAACATCCCCTTATTCTTCTAGCCCTCCGAAACCACGCCGGCCCCAGCGCGCCCCAAAGTCTGAAGACATTTCAAGATGGGAAGCGAGCTACTAGGAAGTCAAATTTGACTACCTAAACGGCGGTTTTTATAGTGGCCGCAACAAACCGGCCCTGGAGATCGGCATGTTTTTAAGCAGCAAGTCTGGGCGACGAAACCTGGCGGCGGTGCCTGCTGTTGGCTTCCTTTGTTCACCTCTTACATACGTTCCTCTCACTGGCAAGGGTGGGAAGACCACTGTTTTTACCAACATGCATACTGCAGTGTTGTCAACAGCTCCTTAAGGTTAGTCCCTTTTTCTCCTCAGTTATATTTATAAACCCTGTGCAGAGTTGCTATGGTTTCTGTTACCGCCAGTCCAATTGGTATTCAGTGCAGTTCCTCTCACCTTCACCACTTGGGTGACCTTTACTTCACAAGGAAGATCTCATGCCATCAGCCCGTTCAATTAGATGTCACGCAACGCGCTGTGCAAGAACACCAACCGCTAAGCAAAAGAGGGCTCTGTGGAACCAATTCATCTGCAAAAGCTGTCTAAGAGATGGATAAACAATGGTAATTATTTCAAAACAAATTGGAACCAGAAAGCGCAACCCAGCAGTGTTAACTGCTAGACAAAAAGGAAAGCCACAAAAAGAAGAAATTTCAGCTCTCAACGTCTTGGGCACTCTGGTATCTTCCTCTAGGCAGAGATTTTTCTACCTTTCTTGCTCTCCAAAGTCAAGCTCAAAAAACTCTTACTTCCAAGACAGTTTCTTGTGCACCGATTGAACAACTTACACAAGGGATTGCTCACAAATGGGAGCAACGCAGTTGTAAACTGGCAGTAAGAATTTATCTCTTTGCCAAGCTAATATTCTAAATCTTATATTTAAGCCACTTTGCACAAAGCTACACTGCTTACTGGACAGCCAGACAGCCAAGCAGAATGCACGATGCTTTTCTCTAAAAGTTAGTATGCTGGGAATGGGCTCAGCAGCTTCATGCACTGACCAGACCACAGGATCCCCCAAAACCCTAATCCAGACACTGAACAAAAAACCCCCACGGCTTCCCCCCTAACTCCAAGAAAAATGTTGCTACTACAACAAAGAAGCCACAAATACACAAAAGCCAGAAAATAAAGCTTAGACGCAGTATGACCCTAACTCTGTCCGTGCAGCGGGAATGGGAACATCCCCACACTTTGCCTCTTCATAACAAAACCAGAACTTGCCCCGTAGCACTTCCTTGGCTGTTGAGGCAAGTGTTCTTGCATTGGGCAACCAGGCCGGCCAAGACATCTCATTCCATATGCTTTTAATGCTAGTCAGGGCTTTCTAAAGAAGAAGCAAATTGCCTGGATCTTTCCAAGATACCCAGGCGCAGACATGTGTAGGAGCATGGCGCTTTAGCTGATCAAAAGACAGCTCTGTATTGCACAAAAGGAGCTCCTCTATTATAGCTGCTGAACAACCGTGTTATTCAGTAAGTAGGTCAGAAGAACAGGTCACAGCCAGCACACAAAACCAGGCTGGCTGAGAAAGCAGAGAGGGTGAAATGCCCCTGTGCCGTGGGAGGTGGGAACATCGCTTGCTGCCGCAGCTTTGTTAGGTAAGGCTCCTGGGGGAGCCGGGCCCCGAGACACGGGTGACCGAGGCATCCGCAGCCATGGCCGAGCTTCTCACACAGCGCTCGCAGGAAACGACGCGAGCGGGGAGAAAGACCGTGTGCCACATGCTCTGAACTGAAGCATCGCTCTGCCCTTGCTGCCGCCAACACGGGTGGCTTTAGGCACTCTGGTTTATTCCACCCTGCCCCCCCCCGGCGTTGTTCGGCGGGCGGTTCGCAGCCTCAGCCCCGGCTGCTGCCGCAGGGCCGCACAACTACTTTACACCAGTTCGTTGCTCTGGCACTCCCAGGCTCCCTGCTTGCTCCCTGGCAGCACGGTGTCACCTGCATGTTCGTTGTCTACTTACCTGTCACTACAGCTCTGAAAAAAAAAAAAAAATCTCAGTCCGCAATCCGAGTCAGGGTGGCTTATCCCAAAAACAGGCCAAAATTTTTTCACTATTTCCCCCGCTGCTTCCAACTCCTCGTGCCTGGATTGCACTGCTAAATCTTTGCCCACTCGATGGAGGACTTCTTTACAGCACACGAGCTCTTTCATCTTTACCATGATCAGAACAAGCCAGCGCACCTTTGCTATTTCACAGACTCTTTTCAACTGGGGTGAGCTGAACTTCCTATGCAAAGATTTGACCTCTCCTGAAATCCCTTGATCAGCAATTTCCCTTGCTTGCTCTTTCATGTTTGAAGCATTATGAAACACTGGAAACTACACATTTTTTCATAAGGAAGTTAGTGAGAAAATTCAAATAATCAGCTCGGTCCCAGGAGACTTAGGGTCTCTTTCCAAGTTTGAAAGCTCTTTCCTAACAGAAGTTTTGTCTTGGAAGTCTTCTGGTTAGCAGGCAGCCGATGATATAGCTTCTCTGGAGCCCCATTATACTTCCAGCCCAGGGGCAAGTAATAAAAAAAGCCTGCCTGGCTCTGTGAGGTCTGAATCAGGTGCTAACACTGAACATCTGCTGAGGCCTCTGCTGTCCTCTCCCCACCCCTCCTTCCATGTGCTGGGCACTGGAGCCTTCTCCATTTTATAGCTTGTGGCAATGAAAGGCCGATTTAAGAGGGAAAGCATTGCTGACAGCGTTAGCCAAAGAAAACAGACTCCGCTTTAACTGCTTTCTGTCCAGGACTCTGGGGAGTCCACCAGCACTGTGACACACTGAGAAGTTCTGCGCTGTACAGCAGCCTTCGGAAACAGTCGCCAGGAAAACATCCACAGCCCAACCCAAGCGAGACAGACTCTACACGTACGTTTATTACTCCATACAACCAGACTGCTTATCGTACAAGAAGCAACAGTGCCACCCAAGAGGGCCTTCACAGCTGTTTAGAGACACGTAAACACAGCTTTAAAACATGTCTTTTATGTAATTTAAGTACAAACTACTGAAGCACCAACCACTGTGTGCGTATGTACACACAGACACGCGTGTGCGCGGGGATCACCGTACCCACACGGACACAGACCAGACAAAGTGTCGCAGCAGGCCGTGGTACACTGGTACATTGCTCTCTGAGGAATCCAACATCCCTACACAAGGTGTCCACGAGTGGGACACAAACTGGATGTATGCTGAGCCCTAAGCTCATCCGTTGGGCCTTGAGTTGCTGCCGCTGTCGGCCTGGCTTTCCTTCCCTGGTTGCTCCTTGCTGCACCCCGCTGCCGGCTCGCCTCTAGCGTGAGCAACCCAGGTGAGTGCACCAGCATGAATGACTTGCTAAAGACATAAAGGGGCAGCACACAGGGTCAGATCCTTATCCTGAAAAGTCTCAGCAGGGAAACGATGCTTTCTGTCTTCTGGGGCACCTGATCTAGTGGGGGCCCAAGTCACAGGTGTAATGCACGGGGCACAACCATCACACATATAAACATCTACAGCCTAGAAACTTTCGCTTTTCTGTTCTGTAACAGTAAAGGATGAATGGGCCTGTACAGGAAAAAAAAAAAAAACAAAACAAAACTGTATTTGGTGTAGAAATCACGACCTTTAGAGAAAAAGACTGTAGCACCTGAATAATTCCTACTAGAGGGAATGCACAGTACAGTCAATTTTGCTTAACATCCAAGAGGGAAGCTTAACGCCTTAAGGTAGAAGGTTCATCAAAGAGCTAAGAACGACATTTTTGCTTAAATGCTGTGCTTTCATCAGCAGAAAGGGCACCTCTGCTTGCAATAGGAAACTGAGAAAACTGGTACTTAGGCCTTTCTAAGCAGCAACTGCTGAATCCCAGCACTGCTCTGGGGCAGCTGAACAGGATAAGTTATTGGCATTCATGTCTGTTCCCTTCTAGGTCTTGCTTGTGTAGATTAAGCTCCTCAGGCAGCAATGGCCTCTCTAGTGAGAGATCCTGAAATGCTAATCTGGCACTGGCCACAAAATATTCGCATAGCTTTACTAATTTCTACTGCAGTAAAACAAACAAAAGAGCCTACCGCTTTCATAAGGAAGAAATGGCAGACTGCAGCAACGTTTTCAAAGCTCTCTATAAAGGCCCAGTTATTCCCTGGGAAGAACAGACTGGCCTTGGTAGGAATTTATTCAAAAATTAGAGTCAGCATGGCTTCTGCTTGCTCATCTTCCAATGCAGATTGTTCATTTTTGTCTGACAGCCACAGGTACTGTGAAACCCAGGGGCTCTACTGTGCAGTTAATGCAAACCAGTCAGGAAAGAAGCATTTCTTCTCCCTGTAGGTGACAAAGGTAAAAGCTGGTGTTCCTTCTGCACTAACCTCCCTGTTCAGGAGTGTAACAGGGCCTAACGCTAGGCAGTGGAGATGCTCTGTCCTGGAAAGATATGAACAGCAGCTGTGTCTCAACCAGTCTGTGGGTCCCAGAAGCTCCTTTTCTGCAGTGCCACATGGAAACACGCCAAAGCTCTGACCGTGTTTCATGTCAAATGCAAGACTGACAGAATCTCCACCGTGTTCCTCCATTCAAACGGGGGCAGTGCTTTGTAATGACAGGATCAATCCGAGACATGGTCTTCACATACAAAGAAAGAAAATGGAATACTGACAGACAAAGCAGCAATGGTAAAACTCATGTATTCAGGGAGATGCTGCAGTGCTGCCATGCATGTATCCTGACAGCCCTTGCTGTTGAACACTAAACACACTTATGCAGCATTTGCCTTAGTGGTTCACGTGTCATGGCCCAAGAGACCAGCGTGCTGAATTACTGACATTACTGTGAACTTTCAAGAACTAGCAAAATTGGGCAAATAAGGATATACTCCCACTCAAGAGGAGGTATTATCTTTTTCTTACTCCAGTTTGCCACACCTGGCTATGCCACTGGGAGTCTCAGCAGAGAGCCAAAGGGCAGAATTACCTACCGAACCGCACAGCAACTCACATCCACCAAGAGAATTCGGGCCTAGCTCACAAAATCACCAAAAATTTGAAAGCTTGCATATTCTTCTGTAAATTTGACCTCTCCTTCTCATTCCTACCACAGGAAGCCTTTGTGTGTCAGACTCACAGCCCAGGCCTGTCAAAAGCTCGCAGAGTCAGCATGACAGCTATGCTCTAGAGAGAGGATTTCTCATGCTGGAGTTTACATCCCAACCCTTCTTATCCCTGCACTTGTATGTGGGAAGGGAAGAAACAGGTAAGAAACAGAAATGAGACTGTACGGCTCACTTTCCCCTAAATCAGTAACATTTAAACTTTTTTAAGAAATCTTCATTAAAAAAAATTAAGCATGAACAGTTCTACAACATAAACAGATACAAATCCCATTGCCTAGTAAAGCTAGGAAAGAGTTCATGTCTAATCAGAAGCAACGGAAGTCCACAGCCACGTGTTTTAAGGACAGCCTTGTATTTTAAAAACAGCCTTGATATTAATGTCTTTACTGTATTAAACATTTGGTACTTAAATAATAATAATAATACAAATATCTAGAGAGCACAGACAAAGTATAGGATCATACATAAGCATAAAAGTGCAAGATGTAACTTAAGTCAAAGTGCCTACTGGTCAAAGTGTCTACTGGTCAAACTGGTACAAACTATGCTCAGAGATCAAGTATAAACCAGACTGAGAACAATCGAGGCTCTTTTCTTTTCCTCTCATTTCCATCAGAAATCGCCACATGTAACACCAATCCAGTCTGAAGTAACATCAATTCCAAATGGACGTACACGAGAGGAAAGCCAAGCCCATGTCTCGATGGAAAACTGATCCTCATTTCCTCTGTGTAATGCCAATTAATCCACAGGCTTTGCTCTGAATATCCGAGCAGAGAGACAGAGAACAGTAACTCTGATGCCACATCCAAGGGAGGCAGAGTCAGCAGTTCAACAGAAATGTAGCACTTAAGAGCAGGGGGTACAGTGAGCCCTTGTTAGCTCCTCTGGAGTCACATCCCTCAGCTGATTTATTGATTCCAGCCATGAAAGATGACTACGAGGAGATTAAGTAACACTGCTCTTCATTGGAAAAATAAAGAAATTACCCTCACAAGTGTAATTTTCCCCTTCCTGTTTGTCTTATTTTACTACTTCTGAGATAAAATATCTTTTACAATATCAGCTCATTGTGTTCACTCCCTTTAAAGGCAAATGGAGTTTAAAAGATCTTGTCACCAGAAGGGGGTGGGATGGGGGCAGAGGCAGACCTTTTATTAAACCTTAAAAAGATTTCTAACTCATTTTGCCAGTGAAAACAACAAAAGCCATAAAACTCTAGCAAAGGAGGGCTGTCACTGAGATTAAGCAGATCCAAACTCCGTCATCCATTTTTCATACTTCTCCAGGTCTGCAGCAGAAACAGATTTGGAGATTTTCTTCAGAGCCAGCTCAAAGTCCCCCTTGGTAACCGGCATCTGAAGCTCCTCTTTAGAAAGTGCACGAATCTCTTCTGGAGTTAAGCCGTTAATACGTCGTCTCATTGCCATTAAAGAGGCATCCCTGGAAATACAGGACAATGTATGGGAGCTAATTGCTAGCAGCATGTGCTGTAAGCCTATGAATTTTGATTGTATTCTCTTGCTAGAAACCACTGGCATGAACACTTAAGAGAGCATTTATTTACCATAGAAGATGCAGTTCACATCTTTCTTAGCTTCCATGTTCCCAGATCACTACATTAATTCAACGTAAAGAATGCACTGGCACCAAAACCCATTTAAGCATATGGTAAATGTGCAGAGATAATTAAAACTATAAAACTGAAAACCTTTTACAATGATTCATAGAGATGAAATTTTACAACTTCAGTGCGGGAAAGGGCAGGGTGGGAGAAGAACTGCACTCAAAGATTTTTTGGGTTTTTTTTTTTTTTTTTTGGAAGTAGTCTGGATTTTGCACCCCCATCCTCTTAGATTTCAACCTTCTCCCCATCGTGTAGCCCAAAAGGACGGTCAGCGAGCGTTCAGAGTGCAGCCCAGCTCTACTGCCTGCTCACACACAGCACTGGAATCTGTAAAGGGCAGAGCAGGAGGCATCAGACACGAGCGTCGCGCGGCCCTGCGGGGCCGAGGCCACGGGTGCCTCTGGCTCCTCACGCTCTACCTGCTCTGTGACTCCTCCCCAGCTCGGATGCTGCCAGCGTGGCCCACTGGCACGGAGAACGCTGCTCATTTCTCACACCACGGCCCACATGCAGTCTGAAATTACTTTTTTTCTTTCCCCAGGTTTTTCCCAGCAAGGGATAACACAGGCCTCAGGGAGAACAGGTAATTTAACTATTGCACTGCGTGACACACACCAGGTTTTCAAAACCATGGGGTCATTCCACAATTTCAGCAAAGCAGCAGGGGAAGGAAAAAAAAAAATCCCAAGCCATGTTCTTAAAGGATCAGTTTCTCTTGGCAAGGATCCTAACACTATAAGGAACGTAGACTTCCCTTTGATTAAGTTTTTTCAAATACCTATTCATGAGGAAAGACTCATTTGTCAAAAAATGAAACAAATTGTGGGAACAGGATGGAAATAAATTCAATACAAATGCTATAAACTATCTGTATCACCCTTGCACCCCGAAGACTCAGGCAGAAACCAAGACCGCACTGCACTGGGGGCTGTCCAAACATGGAGCATACAGAAGTCCCAAAGAAGTATTCTGTGAAAAGTTCATTTGCATCACTAAATTCTAGCTCTTAAACTCATGGGATTTAAAAAAGAAAAAAAGAACAAAAAACAAAACCCCAAACCTCTTTTGCACTACATTAACAAATGCAGCCAACAGTAACATGAGATTTGCTCAGAGAATTTGCTTCTCTTCAGATCCAAGAAAACTTAACCACATCTCGCAGAAGACTCAAATAGTCTTCAGACTGCTCCATATGACAGCAGCGCATGGTTCCAGTAAATAGATCTGGGCCTCAGACACAGTCGCTGTCAGCATGGCTTCAGCTGCAGTGGGTATTACCTTTTATCACATAATGCAAACGATGACTTTCCATGCACTTTCATTTGCAAATTAAGGGGAATGAGATACCTGCAAACGTTAGTGATGTCAGCACCAGAATAGCCTTCAATCTTCTCAGCAATTTCTTCAAGGCTGATATCAGGATCCAGTTCTACTTCTCGAAGATTAATCTTAAGTAGTTCTGCTCTGCCTTTTGCTGCAAAATAAAAATACTTGTTTGAAGACTTGCAAGAGTAACATTAAAAAAGATACAAACAGAACTTACATTTTCCAGTCAAAAGTAAAACCAACAGGGTTTAATATAAGAAAAGGAAAGAGACAGAAAAAAATCATAGTAAAGTGAGCAATCAAATAGAGTGAAGTATATGGTTAAAAGCAGTTTATTAAAACAGCATGCCATAGAGACATTTTCCAAAATCATACGTCATTAAAAATGTCTGCTATGTCTCAGGTGACAAAGCATTTGGTCACACACTACCCAAGGGGACAAAAGCACAATCCTACAAACGTCTGCTTCTTCTCACATCCCTTTGGATTCTCTCACTGTTCAAGTGTTTGATTGCATATTATTCACATAGTTTCATTAGAACCACAATGAGAATTCTATTAGCAGAGCTTCAGACAGCACAAACCCCTTAACAACAGGCTGAACTTTAAGCATATGTTTAAGCACTTTACTCAGTTGGGACCCAAGAAAGTTGCTGAAGCCTGACAGAAAACAGATACATTAATACAGTAAACATATATTAATATATTTACAATACAAATGTCCTGGTATCGCACTTTCAGACCTAGATGCAGTGTGCTCACAGTAATAACCAGCTGTGTAAATGAGCACTTATGCAGCAAATTAACCATTTTTCTTGTAGAGGGCATGTTCTTATGTGCATTTGGATATATATGTTAAGCAGCCTAGGCTTATAAGAGGGAATTCGCATTTGACAGCTTAGGCCTCAGTGTTACTCTGCACTGGGGTGGTAAAGAAGAGGATGAATGCTTTCCCGGCTCTTACTGTACAAAAAAATAAACCAGCTCAGCATCTTGATTTCCACAGTGACCAATTTTTATGACCTAGAAAAGAGGACAACTGCAACAGAAGAAGTAGCAGTAGGACAGGCTAGAAGTCTTAAGGAAATGTCCACACTTATTTTTTGTTTTATTTATTGATGTCCCTAAAATTTTTTTTTTTTTCATTTTGTGGAGAGGGGAACTATAAAAGAAATTAGAAAACTTGTATAAAACTACAGGTTTTGTGTGCTTTGCAGAACTGTCAAGAATATAGAGCTATAAATCACACAGCTGGCACTAGCTGTAAAATGGGGATTTATTATTTACAGAGCACAATGTACATACAGCATAGCTGCAGAAAGTATCCTGTATCAAAGAACATTCTTCTAATCTCTGCTACAGGGCTAAGCAAGTCCTTGCAGTATTTTGAAAATAAAACATGGTGGAATGTATACTTGCATCAAATTCTACAATATACAGATGTATATATAACACATCCTATCACTTTCTCAATTAAAATGCCTGACCATATCAAATCCCACAGCACAGTTATAAATGCATCATTTAGACTACCCCAGAACAGCTCCACATTTATTTACAGAATCGATTCAACAGAACACAAGACTGGAAATAAAACTGGAGCACATCTCATATGTTGTCCAGAGTGTAATACACTGTGTCAAAAAACAATCTGTTTTAATTAGAAACAAGAGCCAGAGCTGATAAAATTTTAAACTAATTGGTCATAAAGACAGGCATCCTGTTAGGAGCTGTTACTGCCTGTAAGCTGCAAAGACAAGCTGTAGAACTATTAAGTGTCCTTATACCTGCTAAACTCAATCACAGCTGCCGTCACCGTGAACACGCATCTTGTTATCTTGAGTGCTCATGCAGGGAGATGAGGCATCCACTGTACCAAGCAGAAATGAAGCTATGCAAACTTCAAGTGATAGGAATCTCAAAATTAATAGGACAGGTGAATGACAGCTAGGGAAGACAATACAAGCCGAGACGTCTCAGGGCAGGAAAGCAATCAGCCTGCTGCATTCTGAGCGACTCGAAGCACAGTCATAAAGGTGAGCAAGCAGTGATTTACAATGAACCAAGCCTGTAAGTGAAAATGCATGGATCCACTTCTTTGCATTTGTTTGCAAGGGCACGGAGTGCATTTGCAATATTTCTGAACATGTCCAAAGGCTGCCTTTGATGATCACTCAAAGATTGACTGTTAAGCATTTAAAATAATTCCAGGCTCATTAAGACTAACTCTCTCTCAAAATGTAAGAACCCATCAACGGGCTTGCAATGAAATGCTGCAGCTCTTTGTTTTTAAGCCTCCAAGCAAGTAGTATTTTTTTTTTCCTTTCTCTCACTCTCTTTAAAAATAAAACGACAGAGCCAAACGATTAACCCCTGAATTTCACTGCTCATTACAAAAACATCAAGATGCCTCCCAAACTCAAGAGTCGTGCAGTAATCCTAAACTCGTCTTGCAAAGGCCACTGTAAAGGAAAATGCTCGTAGCAAACATACCTGTGGGCAAAGGGATATAAATCCTCTTCTCCAGTCTCCGTCGGAGAGCTTCATCAATATCCCAGGGAAAATTTGTAGCAGCTAATACCATAACCATCTTAGAAGGGTCATCATTTTCCAGAGCACCACCTACCCCTGCAAGCACAACGGTTTAGAGCAATTTCACTCCACAGCTCTTCTTGATCAAGATGCTTGCTAAGAAACACTGCACAGACAAACACTGCAAAAGCCCGGACAAAGCTAAGCAACAGCTCTATGTAATCCTAGAGTCCCTTTCCAAACTTACCGTAGCTTAGGTGTGACCAAACCATCACTGTCAGAGAGGGGGACAGTTCTTTATTGACGGAGTCAGAGGAGGGCTTTCGTTGGCAGTGCTAACACCACAGTCATACGGCAGTGTAGCCCTACTAGTCCCACCAAAAGTGCTATCTCGGTCAGATCTGGCCACAGAAGAAATAAGAAGCACTCTGTAGCCTCCCAAATGAGGACCGCAAAGAAATGATCACTTTGGGGCAAAAAGTTGCCTACCCTGAGTTTCCCACAATGAACCTGCACGTTTGAGGACATTATAAATAGCACTTAAATAGCTGCAATACAGGGGTGGTTGTTATACCACTATGCCATACAAGATTCTTCAGATGGTCATCCTTGTTATGTGCACCTGCACGGGACAGGTATGGAATCTGACTAAAAGGGTAATGTTAGCTGGCACCACAAAATACAGCAAGAGCTCACAGTGGAGTCCCTGAGCTGGAGACTCTAGCAAAGGGGAGAAATTTTTTTAAATGGCATCAAAATTAAAGATCTGTATTAAACTGCACAAATCTCCATTATGTGCTTCTCTTGGAGTCTGTGTCTCTTAAACAGGAGTTCTCAATTTACCATCAAAATGGCCATTTTAGGAAAAATAAAGCAGAACACCCTTTTCAGTTATCTGCCTTCAAACACTCCAAAAATACACTACTCTTGAGTTCTGCCTTCTTTTTCCCATATCCATAAAGCCAGGTTTTCCAGACTGCTCATGCTCTTACTTTCCCACCTGTACAGAAACAGCACCCCAGCCCCAAACTCGGATCTAAACACTTGTTACCGTCCATTTGCACAAGCAGCTCTGACTTGACTCTGCGACTCGCCTCGTGTTCATCAGACGTGCCTCTGCGGCTGCAGATGGAATCTATCTCATCAATGAAGATTGTTGTTGGAGCGTAAAACCTTGCCTTTATTCAAATGAAAACATCACTATTAAGGCTGCAGCAGCAAGCACAGGCCCTCATCAGACCGCAGCCCAGTCCCACTAGACATCCTACAGACTTCCCTGCCTGTCACAAGAAAATAATTCAAGATCTTGATTTACAAACTGCCTCACATAAGCTGGAGTTTATACACTTTAAATTGTACTCGAGTCAGGGGTCTTTCAGTGTTGGTTGGTTTCTCAGCAACCTGTCTTGCGAGGGGAAAAGGAACACAATCAAAACAGAGGCAGTTTTTATGTCCAGGTTTCTGTGCTGGTGGGAGACAGATGGGAGCTCAGCCTATCTCAGAGACAGGTTTTAACCGAGAGTATGGTAAAAGTGCAATGAGGATCCCAAACAGGTGAATGACTCTTTGGTATAGGCCCACAAGAGCACCTCCTTCACATACCCCACATGATGGACCACAGCCACAACTTCAAAGGGGCTTGTGTCCACCATTCAGAACAGAAAGAGAACTAAACCACACACTGCTTCTACAATAACAGACCCAAACCCCTCCCAATTTCAAATCTACTTCCTATGGGCTTGTTATCCCACAACCAAGTAAGAATTGAATTTCTGATGAGGCCACAATTCTACGTTTAGTCTAGGAAAATGCTATCCTAAACATGTGTGATGAACCATTTCCTTCTTAATCCTCACCAACATACCAGAAAAGGATGGAAACACAAGGATGATGTTCTTCTAACTGGTCAAGGGGCTGTCAGTTCAATGAACTCCGTGCTTCCAACATGCTACTGGAGGGGCAGGAAACCAAGAGAGATATCCTTTCTCACCCTAGTGCTCCCCAGATCACATCATCGAGGACGTACCATTTCAAACAAGAGGCGGACCAGCTTCTCAGACTCGCCCCTGTATTTAGACGTCAGGGTTGAGGAAGACACATTGAAGAATGTTGTTCCACATTCTGTGGCAACAGCTTTTGCCAGCATTGTTTTGCCAGTGCCAGGAGGACCAACCATCAGCACACCCTGCAAAGTAAAACCAAAGATAATGAACAGCAAATAAAGAAACTTTGCAATTGGTACTCTACGCTACATCTCAGTATGAACCAAGATCTGCCTTTAAATTGTTTAATAACATAGTCATAATCAGTGGAAAACAAAAGACGAGAATCCTGCTTTCGAGAACAGTGTAGAAGTGTTTTGCAATTTCCTCTCACCACTGCACTGAATCCGAATCACAAAAGCCAGTAACTGTCGCTGCACTTATCACCTGCGAAGTGGAGAACAGATTTACATCCCTGCGTTGAATTAGGCAGAGCCTGGACTGGAATTTAGCCCTTTTGCAACTCACGAGAAGGTGCACAGGCAGATGAAGATTGAATTCTTCTTTTTGTAACAGAGGCCCCTTCATAAAGAAAGCTTCACACAAACCAAAATACTTTTTGCAGAAAGCTGTGTTCCCTCAGTAGAGCGTTTTTCTGTGGAAAAGCATTTTGCCAAAAAATCCTGATGATGTGTATGTATGAATCTGGTTGATTTTTACATTTAACTATGCACAAGAGAATTCACTGAATACAATGGTTTGTCATACTGTTTAATCTCTCCATCTCAGTTCTTCTATGGCCATACTACTGCATCTCAGCAATTCCTGCATGAAACACCATCCTCGACACACTGTTGGATGGCAGAAAAGCGCTGCTATTTCTGATTCACAGATAAGTCACTGTGGCTCCTGTGGACTACCACTCAGTCCCACAAAAGCCTAATATGAACCTCAGTGATTACTCAGAAAGCTTTAAACTAGGAAACTAAACTGTATTTTTTAAGTCCCAGGTTGGCATCCACATCATTAGACTGCCTTTCCTTTTGTGGCCTATCTGAAAGAGAGAGTAGGGAGCACACACCTCTGCAGCTCAGCACACTTACCCATCATTACATGAGCAGGTTTTTCGCTAGAGACACAGTGCTCTCAGGACCCGTGTTAAGATTGTAGCACTGAGACTGGCTAATCACTCTTGATAATATCTCTAAATACAGTGATCTTTATGGATATTCTTTCCAACACTTTCAGCAGCAGTGCTAGAGAGGAACAACACACCATTCCATGCCTGCATAGCACCAGAATAGGTCACTGTGATGTTAAGCATGGCACTAAGAAAACTGTAGTGCTCAAGCAGCTTGTTGGTTTGTTTTTGTTTTTGTTTTTTTTTTTTTGTTTGTTTTTTTTTCCCCTCTCAACTGCAAGATCTTATTACATGCTAACAAGAGTTTCCTGAAGTAAAGTTGTACTGTGTTTCAAGGATAATCAAATTAGCTAGAATTAGAATTGCACATCATAATGTGCTTTGCAATTAATAACTTACATAAAATGCCACAGCAATAAAATATCTGTTAAACGCAAGCCACATAGCAAATTAGATTTCATCTGTTCCTCACAAAAATTTACTTCAAAAAGCACAAAGAATGACATGGAAGAGATCTATAAAAACAAATCAACCGGGAATGCAATTATTCAAAAATGTACTATTCAAAAGCAATAGCCTCTCTGTACTCCATTTTCCATTAACTCTTAATACCTTTATTGCCATTTAACACTTAGCTAATGCAAGCTCAACATACATTCATTGGTAAATTAAGCTAGAAACGTTCACACACCATCCATACAGCTAACAGTCCAATGTCACTCCTCAGGCTGCCCAAGGTTTCCTAAGCTCCAGAGCAGCAAGCATAAAAAGCAAATGGACTCTTTTTTCTCCCCATGAACATTCAGACATACACTGTGATTTGAGCTGCTGCATGGCCATACTGATACTGTAACATTGCAAGTACAACCCTGAAGTGACTGGGTGAAAACTACTCAGCCTGTGATATGCAGGTCAGAGATGACTTACTGTTCCCTCCGAGTTTCAAACGTGCTTATCTAATACTTTAAAACAAGCTGCACCTCAATTCAAATCACACTTGATCCCTGCGTTTGACAAACTGTGTTTACTGCAGGACCTGGTGATACAAGCAACTAATGTCATTTTTGGGGTATTGCTTTGGTCCTCCATTATTATGGAAGGTCAAATCCAGGCTTCAGTTACACAAGCTGCTCACTGCCGAAATCGAAGCCCATCGCTTTGCACCTCCTGTGTAGCTATTACAGTGAGCGTTACCCCGCACGTGACGCTGGTGGCATTGTATATGTGCATAACGCAGGTGCAAAGCAGCCACACCAGGTGTAAAGCCAGGGGAAAACCAAGCTCTCCGGGGATAAAGACAATAGAAATATCAGTTTAAAAAAAAAAAAAAAAAAACAAACAAAACAAAACAAAACAAACTTGAGTCCTCATCAAAACAAGATGTGCATGGTTGCAAACAGAAACACATAGGATCAAGTTGCTCTCTCTGCAAACTAGGAGGCTGCCACTTACTCACTAGTTAAAATCCTTGACAAACACAAAGACTTCTTTATTCTTCCTCTAAGGCTCTGTTAATCCAAAGTATTCCAATAAGAAGCTGAAATGCACCACAGGAAGTAAGTGTTTTGATGAAATCACTGCAGGGTTACTTCTTGTTGTTGTAACAATCACTAGCAGAGCAGTGGGAAGCACAGCGAGCAGCCCAGCCTTCCTGGCACAAAACAGTTCTGAGAAAACGAAAGAGCAAGCCCAGGGACATTCAGAAACCCGTGGCTGCAACTACACAGCACCTGTGTTGAATCAGGGAAGACAGCTGGCTCCTTCATACAAGGCACTGTCCTCTGAATGCAGGCACAAACTGTGAGGGCTGTTTTGGGAATTGTTCTCAAGAGAGTCTGAACATCCAAAAACAGATTTGGCTGCCTTTTCCCTGAATTATTGTCCTGAATGCCTAGGCTCAACAAATGCCTGCTGCTACACTGATTACTGCAAGAAACAGTCTTCCCTTCAAAACTTCTCATCCTTGTAGCACAGTCAGAGGTCAACAGTAGGGAAAATACATGCTGTTCTGTGTGAAAAATAAATTCAGGAGAGTTACAGCTTCACAAGTCACCAGGGAAAAGGCTAACAATGAAGACTCTTCATGGACTCATCAGAAATCAATTTGCATTTCAGACTGAAGAGAGGAAATCATCTTGGAGTTTTTTTCCATATTTACAACCACCTAGTTTTCAGAGGTGACACTGTTCAGTAGGAAAAGATAATCTCATGCAAGGAGATGGAGATCGTATCTCATTAAAAGACCGGGCTGTTGTTTCTTTATCCACTCCCACAACACTTAGGGACAAGGTCAGTGGCACTCTTCACGTTCCCTGCAGTCTGCTGAGAAACTGGCCTTAAAGACAGATGGCCACTACATCCTCTGGGCATGTTAACAGATTAAAAAAAAAAAAAAAAAAAAAAGCATAGCAGCTCTGCATTCCCTTAAAAGTTTTTGAAGACTGGACAGTTGGGGCCCCTCTAGTCTACAGTAAGGGTACAGATAAACCTCCTCTATGCCAAGAGGAGAGAGAGATTCAGCTGTTCAAAAGACACTAAAATCTCACCCTACACTCGTAATCCACACTATCTAGGCGCTGTCCAAGATGACAGCTTGGTTAACCTTAAGGTTAACCTCAAGGCCACTGGTACTGACCACAAGCACACTAAACCCCAAAGGCAATATAGCCTGGGGCTAGATTTGGGCTGCCCCCCCCCCGCAGCTCACTAAAACCTCCATGAACAGCTCTCGGGCAGCAATCTCCCAGCTCCCACCGTCACCTCCCACTCTTTCCGACTTCCCCTCTTTACTGTCTATAGACAGAAGCTTCTAGAATGACAACTCTTCCACTCATGGGTTCCCACTGGGCTTTGTTTTGTAAATAAGCAGAACAACAGGGATCTAGGACTGGCTCAGGCTAGAGGAAGACAGCTTTGAGCATCAGACCTAAGTATAAACCAGAGGAGTACAAGGACCAAGCTGGAAAAGACAGGGCAAGCATTGGTAACACAAGATCTGACATATGCTGCTGAACCAGCATACTAAACCACAGAAACTACTTACGTACGCAGCATTCTCTACACATGCCATTGCCTTGCAGACTCAAAACAACAGACAGTTTTCTACAGTCTCTTTTCCCCAGTAAATCCTTCTCAGTAACTACAAAGCTCTAGTGTTGTGACTAATTATTCCCAAAACAAGTGTCAATCCATCCCACAACAAAAGCAAGATACTTTTATTTTCTGTTTACAGAAATGCTCAGCAACCTCCTCCCTCCTCTTTAGCTCTATGCAAGGCCGAGACTGAGCTCATGTCTGCTCCATCAGCCAGGTCAGCTCAGTCCCATATCCTTCCTCTTGCCTCACTTGCAGCTCATTCTCCCACACTGAATTTCTCCCACTCCAGCAGTAACTATGCCCAGCCGCAAATGTAACTGCAAAGCTAAATCATCGCTCAGATTAGCTCCCCCTCTCCTTGCACCATCCAGCCTGCAGTTTGCAGTAGGAGTGAGATAGTTGGCACATGCAGAATAAAACAGTCCACGAGCGGCTTTCCTCTGTGAAGAGTGGCCACCATAATCCTAAACAGGGCTATTAAGCATTTCTGCTTCTGTCAGTATACCCTATATGCTTGCTCACATGTACAGGCTGACATACAGAAAGTATTATAAAGTCAACAAGCTTTGATTGAGTAAATGCAAAAGAATTATGATTTACCGTAAAGCCCACATACACATCCAGCTGTTTCTTTCAGTGCATTTCACATGAATCATTGTGATAGGTTTTCATGAACAAATTCCTGATCTTTCCCATTTGCCTCTTCAGGCTTCTGCTTCACGCACATTACAGCAGCAGATAACTACACATTTACTACATAGCTACACACACATAACTACAGCTTGCCATTTACTAAAACACCAAACAAATCCCCACCTTCCAAGGTCTTCTGATCCCTTTGAAAAAGTCAGGCATCCACATTGGAAGAACAACAGCTTCTCTTAGTAATTTCTTGGCTTCTTCCAAATCCGCTATGTCATCCCTGTGCAAGATGAAAAAACTCATATAAGATTCCTGTACAACAATATTTCTTCTATTTGTATACGAGAAAAATAGAAAAGCTTCTCATATAATAGCATCTCTTTTAGCGTACCAGTATATGCTTTATGAGAACACTCCTGTAATTCTGTGACCTAAAATTGAATCCACATTTAGAAGGTTGGGTAAAAATCATTTTCATCTCAAATTACCCAGAGCTGTTTAATTAAAAATTGTTTTGGACAATATGAACACCAAAGCGGTATCTTTAAAGTTCTCTGGTGTGTACTTTAATTTCAGCAGTACCTGTAATGGATGTACTGCACATAATGCCAGTTAGCAACAAAAGCTTAACTGTAATCAAATTAATAAACTGTTAAAACCAAAAGACCTTGTTTTGCTTATTTATAAAAGATTATCATGGCTCCCTGTTTTAACAGTTAGAAGAAGGATAATTTCTCTCCTCCACACTACCAAAAACACTTGAATTAGGAAAATCCTCATACCAATGAATGCTTGGATTTCTTGATACAATGTCCCTTTCAAGAGCTTCAACCAAGTCTTTGTCGTAACCTGCTGCATCAAATTTTGGAATTTCCCCATCACCAACTTCCTGGGATATTTTCTTTCCCTAGAAGTGAAGGTCACACAGGCTTATAAGGACATTATTCTTTCAACACAACCTTCACTAGCAATATACAGCAACGTTGTCTGGTTCATGTCTGTAGAAGCCACAAGAGGGTATCAAGCTTTCACACAGCTATCTCAGCACCATGGTGGCCAGCAAAACCAACACCTTCGCACCCTCCACTCCACAGAGCCCCCAAACACCTGTGGTTGTTTTTACCACAACAGCAGATGCAGCTCACAGGGATAAAACCCTATCAGAGCTCACTACGTATGACGGTGGGTTGGTTGGTTGGTTTGGTTTTAAAGCAGCAAACCAGACCCTCTTAACAGTGCTAAACCACTCTTTAGACAACTGACACACTTTCTGGCTAGCTGAAGGCATGAATGCAGAAACAGCCTCACTAAAGCAGGCTGTGCCATGACTTAATGCTACATTAACTCCTGGCTGAAGACCAGAGCATCCAAAGCATGTTTTGCAGGTGCTACACCTGCCACGCTACCTGCCAGAGCTAAACAACTGGCACCCCATCATCACTGAAAAGGAACACAAAAGCTGTTACACCCATTGCCTTTAATGGAGGAAAACCAACAAGATTCTCTCCCCTTGTTTAATTAAAGCCCTCCTGCCCAGCAATTTCTCCTTTCCTCAATTGCAAACTATCTATATCCCTCCTCTCATTCAAAGGTCAGCTCCATAAACAGTTAAAATGCGTTTAAAAGGTCACATTTAATTAAGGGCCACACCAAAAGCCCTGAAGAAGCTCCCCGGTCACCCAGGCTTCTCTGAACTACGTATTTGAGCAGTAATTTCTACAGCACGCTAATGCTCACTCAGCGACCAAGCCACACGCTACCTCTGCCCCAGACAGCCCAAAGTTTCTGGTTAGTACTTCCACAGTGCCGTTAAGCTTATGGGGGTGAAGTAACATTTTTCCTTTGAAGCATCGGGGCTCACCCTCCTCCTCTCCCACTTCAGAAGGAAACCGCTTCCCCTCCCAGCTCAACGGCAGCGTTCCGCGGTGCCTGAAAAGCAGCTGCCCTGTTTTAATGAAGGAAGCTGACTAGGGAGCTACTTTAGGACTCTTAACTCAGCTTCTAAACACTATCAGCAGCAAGTTAAAGAATCCCAGCTGGCTGGACAAAAGCAGCCTAGGCAAAGGCGGGCTTAGAGGCAGCTGGAGACACACAAATAACCTTGCAGTGGAAAAAGAAAAAGGTAGCGATTACACCCCACCCCTCCCAGTTGCCGTTTGCCCACGAGGCCTGTGAGAGAGCAGTTTATCTTCCCACTATTTTTATTTCTTGCTTCCAAGTGAACTCTGTGTTGTTTAGTACTCCCAGATTGGTTTTTTGCAATGGAAATGAAGCTGAACGCTGTGTTTAGACAAAAAGCTAGTGTCAAAAATGCAATGGTCTGGTGTAAAAAGGAAATGGATTAAAAAGCCCTGTAGAGTCTGGAAGATTTCAGAGCGGAGAAAATGGAATCCAAATGTAACCATAAAAAAAGAAGGAAAAAAAATTACGATGAAGTGAAAGGTATCTGCTGTCTGTCTTTGTTACACACTCCTATCCCTCTGCAACGGACTGGCTTTCCTAGTGGAAGAATTTTTCTGCACATCTGAAAACAAATCGGATGTTTTGGTTTTTCTCTGGGTGAAAGAGGAGTTAAGGCAGGCTTTAAAAAGCAGAAGGCAGGGCGGATGGCTGCCTGGCACGCAGCCCGTTTGCTGCGCCAGAAAGGCAGCGAACACGCAAACCAGGCAGCGCAGGCGACACATCGGGCCTGGCTGTGACGCAGCTCAAAGAAGCGGGAAAAAAAAAAAAAAAAAAAAATAAATAAAACAAAACAAAACCAAAAAAAAAAGCCCACGAATTAAAAGGGGAAAGAAAGGCCCTGCGGCTCCGGCGGGGCCACGGGGCGGGGCGGGGCCACATGGAGGGGCGGGGCCACGTGGGGGCGTGGCCAAGGGGGGGCGGGGCGTCCGGCCGGCGCCGGGGCTGAGCCCCCCCGGCCCGGCGCTATTTCACTTTTCCCGGGACAGTTATTTTTCCTGCTCCCCGAGGCACGGCTCGGCAGCAGAGAGGGAGAAGGGGCGGCCAGCTGAGAGGTGTGCCTTCGGCAGCACCTCGGCTGTCATTTTAGTGACACTGAATGTTTCGGCTTTTTTCCAGTTCTGGAATTAAACTGAGATTTCATTTATTTACAGTTTTCATGTGTAATAAGATAGTTCACGTTGGTCCCAAATTGGTCCAACATGCAGCCTTCAGTCTGCAAGTAAGTGAGCAGAGACTAGAAAAAAATAGTTTAAAAAAAGGTCACCTGAATCCAGGCAGCAGGAGTAACCACAATTTTTCCAGTCATATCCTCATCTTTTCTTGTTGTATTACTTTCCCAAAACACCTTTAAATAAAGCTCCTGTGACAGCTTCTCTCCGAGAAGGTATGCCAACAGACAGAGGTATACAGGACTGCAAAAGGCTGCTCCCACCCAGTCCCCCTTCCAAATATCATTTGGAAGAGGTATTGGACCTGCACTAGCCCACTGGAACAAAATGAATGTATTTCTATTCTTGTACTGAGTTTGTGCATTAGTTCCAGCAGCTGTCTCGCCGATGTGGCCACCACCCTGATGCACCTGCAGCACGTGTGTGCTCTGCTGCCTTCATTTACCAGACCAAGGGAGTCTCTTCTTGGAACACAAGCGGAACACAATTACCTGTTCACTTTGGCAACCTCTCCCCCCCCCCTCCCTCCCTTCTACTATTAACACATCTTTCTTGAACATGGTTGTAGAAATGTATGCAAAATACTCCAGCTGCTCTCTCACCAGGACCTCCTGTAACAGCGTGAGTATCTCCTCCTTCTGCTGGTAACACCTCAACAAACTGGGCCTGGGATTTCATGGGCGTTCATTTCCACAGCTGTATCACACTGCCACCTCGGCCTCGGACAGATCAATCCCGCAGGATGGTGGCTGCAATGACCAGAACTGGGTCCTGAACTCGCCTTGCCTTCCTCCAGACTCTTCCCACTCCACACAACCACCCAACAACAACTGCCAGAGGCACCCTCCGCCCCTGGCTGTGCTCTCTCCAGCAGCCAGCCCTTCCCATCAGAAAAGGTGATGTGGCAGTGTTCAGCCTGATCCGATCTCTGCTGATACGTCCAAATCTTTCTTCTCCTCCAGTGCTGAGCTCCCAGCTGCGAGCAGAAATTCTTGCTGGAGTCTCCCAGCCCACAGCCTGCTGCTCTGCACCGCTGAACATTATCTCATTTCCATGACTCCGGCACGGAGCCGATTCCTCCTGTACAACAGCCTCAATTCTGGTGATGGACCTTCCCAACTCAGTGTCATCAGCAAATTTAATTAGCTCATGCCTCTTTTTTGTGCCAAGGTCATTAGTTTAAGTGTAAAACAAGATTCAATCTCTAGTCTTGAGGAAACCCATAAATGATTTGCGGCTCAGCTGATACTTTTTATTTCAGTACCACTTGTTTACATTCCCCTTGCTGCCTAATTCCTCTGAACCTTACAATTCTTCTACACTGCATACTCACTTGATTAACTAATTGCTTCCCATGTGGCAACCAGGTAGATTGATTTCTTTCTCTAAGACATTAAGTAGCACTGTAAATAAAGTGCTGGCAAAGGCAACACATTTGCTTAAGAGACCACTTTCACTGTGTTCCACTTTCCAGTTAGACCCAAGTCCTTAACTTTTTGTCCATCCTAAATTTGTTGTAAAACTTTGCACACTGTTTAGATAAAACTAGCAACTCCAGTTGCCTGGATCACTTTTCCTCTCCCGTTCTAAATGAGGGCATGGTCAACACAGTTCACCCTTCTTCACATGAGACAACAGAAGACCCAATAAATTTTACTGGAAATCTCTGCTCCCAACCCTGTAATTTCATCTACCAGTTCTTTCAGGCTTCTCAGAACCATTATGCAGCCTTCCAGTCCCAATGCATGGAGATCTGTGCCTCTACCTAAATAGGACTACCACATCTTACATCCATATTCCTGTAATCTACCTTGCCTTTGCTTCTGATGACACATATCAGAATAATGAAGCAAAAAAAAATTAATTTACAGTTATATCTTCATCAATTTTAATATTCACTGATATGGCAGCACAGCCCTTTGCTATTTCATATCCTTTGCAATAGCTACTGTCCTTGTCCACTATCAATCTAAAATAATCACAGAATCATGGAATGGTTTGGGTTGGAAGGGACCTTAAATATCATCCAGCTCCACCCCCCTGCCCCGGGCAGGGCCCCCTTCCCCCAGCCCAGGGGGCTCCCAGCCCCGTCCAACCTGGCCTTGAACCCTTCCAGGGAGGGGGCAGCCACAGCTGCTCTGGGCACCCTGGGCCAGCGCCTTATCTTCCTTGTATCTAATCTAAATCTACCTTCTTTCAGTTTAAAACCATCACCCCCCATCCTATCACTACAATCCCTGATAGGATCCCTCCCCATCTTTCCTGTAGCCCCCTTTAAGTACTGGAAGGCCACTATAAGGTCTCCCTGAAGCTTCATCTTCTCCAGGCTGAACAACCCCAACTCTCTCAGCCTATAACCTAAATAATAATTATTAAATAATAATAACCAAAATAATAACAATAATAAAATCTAAAGAGTACTCCTAAAAAAAAGTGTTCTAGTGCTTAGATATGGTATTATGCAATTGCTAAGAGACATACAGGTAGCATTCATGCTGCCTCTTTAAGATGAACTACTGAACAGAGGCTGAAATTCTTGGCTGTGATCCAGCAGAAGGTACCCTGAGAACAAGCCTAGTAATTTCCAGTGGAACTATGAAGAAAGAAGCACTCAAAAACAGTATTTTAGAAAAAGGAACGCGTAAATATAAGGTTTTAGTGGATAAACACCATCTGATGGGTTGCAGTTCAAAATTATGTTATATAGCACTACAAAAGGTCATTTTACAGGCAGTCTGGTTAAAACTCCTTATCCCAAGATGGTTACAGTCAGAACAAAAGGATTATATGGTCTGGGGAGGAGAAATGGTTAAAGAAAGCATCAGGTGTAAAGCAAGACAAAATTTTTCTGAAACATACACACTATAGCTATATTTCTCTTGAAAAACCTCAGAAATGAATATGCATATTGCATTGTGATATTATAGCCAGGACAGTGTACAACCTATGACACTGCGACCAACATCTTCGGTAAAGGATATGGCATCCAAGTTCATTACATGTTCCAAGCAGTCCCAGCCAACCACCCAAACCGAGAACTACAGAGCTGAAACAATTATGATGAGAAATGAGGTATCTGGTTGCCTAGTTTGAAGCTTCAGTTTTGCCCTATTATTTTTCACTGAACATGAGTTACTGAATCTCTTTGATACCACATACTAGGCTACAGAGGTAAGCGCCTTGTAGCTTTAATTCAGAAACTGAAGAACATAAACACTTGCAAACTAAGAAAGGATAAAACTGCAAGGGAAGTTAAACCTATTTTCATGCCTATGTGTAAAATATGGTAAGTTGCATTAACTTCTCACACTTCCCACGCCTGGCTACTTCTTTCATTCAAATTTTTCTTCAGAAGAAAATCATGGATCCCATACAACAATTGTCACACAACACATGAGAATTTGTAACCTGGTGTGATTTTTACATATATACCCCAGACAAAGAAAGTAAAATAACCACCGAGTAACTAGACAAAGGCCAAAACAAGAGCACGTGTTGGCATTTTTTGAAGAGTAGACATATTTTCCTTCTGCCACCTAGTGACCAACTTATTCAGATCAGAGTCATGTTTAAAATGTACCATCTTAAATGGAACACCTTCATGACTTTTCCGCCATCTGACAGCAGTAGTGTTGCTAATCCCATTATTCCCAGAGACAAGTATGGTACACGTCATGTTGTTGTGGGCTCCTTATAGTAAAGCCCTATAATGCTCATCAGCGGAAAGCTTTCAGAGCAGAGTTCACTCTCATTAAAGCTAAGACTTTGAAGGCTGCCTTACACAAGCATATCTGGGGAACCTGTCACACACCAAGACTCCAATTCCCCGTATAGCTGGCAGAACTGCGAATAATTTCACAGATCTTCACAAGCTTTTTATAGCTTGCAGGACGCACACTCGTTATTTTAAATCTTACTGATCCAGGGTAGAGAGATTTCTAAAATGATTAAACTTGATCTGTGCACTCATTCAGTGACACTGCTGAAAATGTGCCTGGCCCTACCTACTGATGCTAATAAGAGCTGGGCTTGCTTAATACTATTCCTGTGTATCAGTAAAGCAATTCACGATGGAAAAAGCCTATCTTTGAGTTCTTTCTGTGCGGTGGAGAAGCAACCTGTAATAGAAAGGCCGTAAAGGGACTAACCAAATTCATCTGGAAGAAAACTGGCCTAAGTATTTTCTTATTCATCTATCACAATCTGTACCACACTGTGCTCCCACAGGAAGGGGGGTTCTCATATCTCTGTCTGTCTGGAAAGTAAAGCCACTTCAGTACACCCTTGACTTGTATCATTTATACCACAGATTCCTTGGGTTCCTGGCACTGACTCCACAGTTAAATTTAAAAATGTGTCTCCGAAACAGCAATTTGCACGCAGACACTTTTTTCAGCAACAAAATACTCCTGCCTTTGACATCACTACTTGATGGTGAATCACTGCTTCCCCTCTTCTCTCACTTCAGCACTGCTTCTTTTTCATGGGTCTTCAGAGGAAAGAATCTCCAGGTTGTTCTAATTTATTTCATTGTTTTTATTTTTAAAACAAAGCCTTCCCAAGAAGCATCTTCTGAAACACTATAATAAATATAAACCCCTTTTCATAAACTAAAGAAAATGAAAGTTGCTAAGAGTTTGCTTTTGCTACATCTCTCTCACATCATTTTCAAATATATAACTTCAAGTAATTTGGCACAGATTTACCTAGCATCAATGCATTTACAGAACTGTCCTGGACTTCTAGGCACACCTAAATTTTACTATGGCACGGCAGATACAATGGTACTGTGGAACTCCAAAAAGCAGAGAAAGGCATTGGTTTCACGTTTGCACTTTTTACATGGAAAACTTTACGAAAGACCTGAACTGGACTCTATTAAAAAAAAAACCAACCAAACAAACAAACTAGTGTGGGGGAGAAGGAGGAGAAGGGACTTTACACCCAACTGACACTGACAGATTAGTCAAGCCCATGGTCTGAGATGGTAAGAAACCCCCATCAACAGGCCACCATGCTTCCTCCCTATCAAAAAAATCTTCTAAAATCAAGACAGAGAAAACATGACAGAACTTTCCTTAACTTGGTGTCATGACTACTAAATATCCCCATGATACACACTTTGTCCATAAGGCAAGAGAAAAGCACCAAGGTTTCTTGCACAGGTTTACTGTGGTTTTTTTTATTATTATTATCTGTATGAAATAACTAAAACTCAGAATGCTTCCCTTTGCCACCTGCTATATCACAGCTCCTCCCCACCACATTCCTTCCCACTTCTTACCTTGTCATCTCTTCCTCTAGCTCTCGATTCCCTTTCACGGCTGCCTGCAGACTTCTCGCCCTTGGATACCGCATGCGCTCTGCCCACAGGCCCACGGGGCTGCAGTCCTGGTGATTCTTTCCTCAAAGGTTTTACTTCTCGGTTGGGACGTTTTATCTGAGGTGGAGCCCTAACAATAAGTAACCACAACAAAAACATGCTAAAAACAGCAAAAAAAGAGCAACATGAAGAAGGAAGCATTCTACTATTTCATTAATTCCCTTAGTAAAGCTGACAAGCCCCTAGGTCTTATCTCCCTATATCTGCAAATCCAGCAACATATTTCTGGTTCTGTCTGACATCCAAAGTAAGAAAAAATACAAAAGAAAAAAAAAGTCTCAACAGTTTCAACAGGACAAAGTTTCAAAATGAACAATACTATTACATCAGCACTCCTAACCAATCTTACAACCAACCAGCACGAAACAGTAAACAATTTAGTAAAAGTCTTCATATTATAGTTTCCTCTGACTCCCAACCAGGGGATTATATTAGGCTACATTTATATGCACAAGTTCTACACAACCAGATGACATTGCTGGTAAAAAAAAAAATAAAAACAAACAAACAAACAAAGTAAACAAACAAAAAAAAAACAACCCCCCCCAAACACAAAAATACAAAAAAACAACCCTGGCTAGTAGCTTTGACAGGTCCCAAAACAAAGGGAGAATTTTAAAACAATCCTCCTACTTCTGACTTCATTCCCCTGTGTGAAAATGTCAAAGCATAAAAATTACCTAGAAAGCAAAAGCAAACAGCCAAACTGCAACCACCTATGCTTGTGTGCATCACCCACAATGTCAAAGAGAACGCCGCAGCGTCACAAGGAGAACGAATTTGGTGTCACAGTCATTTTGCTCTAGGTATTGGGAACTAAAATAAACGGCCAGGATGATCACTCAACTTCAATTATTGTCTGCTATTAAGTCTTTTACTGATTCTTGTTTTGAGTAACTCAAAATTCTCTAACTCCAAAAACAGTTTCCTGGAATATGGCTTAAATAGCGTACACACTTAAACAAACTGCTGGATACAATTGCTACGTTTTGCTTTGTATATATTTTCATCAAACTTAACATCACAGAATAGCTTCTAGTTTTCCTTACTTGCTTGCACAAGATTTAAATTTCAGCTTAAAAAAGCAGATAAACTATTGGGCCTTTATCTCTAAGAAAGATACAAGGATAAACACATCTTGCATTTCACATAACATTACCACAAAAATTCAGATAATAATTTCTACCACTCACAAAAGTAATCAGCGTTAGTATTATTCTATACTTACATTCTTAGGGTTTTTTGAAAAGTGTAGATCCATTTGATAATCATCAAGTACATAAATTTACAAATAAACTTGGCATTCCTTTCTGTTAACCAAGAGCTCTCATTTTACTTTGTTCCCTTGCTCATGGGAGTAGACACACAGCAAAAAATTCTTTGCTATTCTAATGTTAGAAAAATGTTGGCACGATAAATGTTATTCTTGTTTTTAAATTGGATTTGTTCTTTCCAACAACCTGTGTCAAGCTCAATTAGGATGGAAATAGGGATTTCAGAAAATGCACAAGCAGCTATTTTGAGAAAACTACTAGATAACTGAAGTTACCTGAAAGGTGGTTACAGAAGAGAAACGTCATGTAGAACAACATGTTTAGCAATAAAACTAACCAACAGATTAAACACAGGTCATATCATCTGTAGCTAGGGAGTAGTTTCTAACCACCATGTCCTTCAAGATCCTTCAGTTCCAGCTCCTTACTGACTCCACAGCTATCAGTGAATTCAACTGCTTAAAATAAGCTGAAATGGAAATATTTTCTCCCCGCACATGAGAAAGGCAACTGTCACCAAAAGCTCACTTACCTCTCCAGCAGACTCTAGTTCCGGGCATTTAGCTAGTCACTCCTACCACAATAAAGGAGTGACTTTCCTCAGAACTTGTGCAATAAATCCGACTATAGTTTAATTACTTTTTTCCCCAATTAATTATATTTATTCTTTATTACAGATGACTAAGGGGTAACTGAAATGTGATTTTCACGTTACAAATGCATTCAAAAAAACCCATAACATTATGGCAACCCAACTTTATTCCACCCACTCCACTTGAGCGTCTCATTACCTGTGTTCAGCTGGAACAGGAGGGGGCCAAACAGCAGGATCTCTAAAAGGCTCATCTTGACAGGATACAGGGATATCTGCAGGTCTGTCCATTTTAAAACTCTCTAAAGTGTTGACAATGCTCTTAACTTGTTCATATTCTTCAACTAATTCTTGTCGGACCTTGAGAATGACATACCTTATTTAAAAATTGTTATAATTCAAACTTAAAAACAAAAAAGCCCATAGAAAGTACCTCAAAACATACACTACTCTCAAAAGCAGGGACTCCCAGACCTTTCCATTCACAAACCCCAGACCTATCAGGCTGACAATAGATCTTTAACAACAGCATAAACAATTGTATCTCTGTTGAGTTCATCTTCCCGCTTGTCAATGTCATGACCAGACATGATTCCTAACACAGGCATCACTCTTCCATAACATGTGCAGATGCTTAGATTTATGTGTGCGTGTTGACATTTCTGCACCCATACACATACTTTTATACTAGTAAGGGTGCTGTTGGCAGATTTTTAATGTATTTGCTACTATTCTGGCATAAAAGAACCTCTCTGATTACAGTTTCCAAGGTACTAGTTATAAAGCTGGCTAAATCATTAAAACATAATATTACAAAATTAACTTTGTGAGGGACACATCATCATCATCATCATCATCATCATCATCATCATCATCATCATCATCATCATCCAGTCAAAGCACAAGACAAATCTTTGGTGGACTGCAGAGAATTAGAACTACTGCAATAATTTCAAGATTATTTACTTGATATTTGTTCATTTCAATTTTAATCCATGAAGCCTAGGGAAAAATAAAAACTATGTAGAAATTTGCTAAGTTTTAAGTGATACGGTTTGTTGCAAGCTCAAGTTTTGTATGCTAAGTTCACTGGTTCTCAGTACACACCAGCAGACAAAAACTACATTGTACGTTCTTGCTCTGAAGCGTAAGCTTTCAGTGCATTAGCTTAAACTGTGCTAGGATTCATCTGAGTGCACTTGTGCTGCATCTTACCAGTCTTCCACCTATCACTCGAGGATGCTTTCCATCCTGTGGGATCAACCTCCATGCTTACTTTGGTTTTTACCTACTGGAGGGTCATAACACCCAGACGTTACCTCTTCACTGAAGCGTTGGTGCACAGCTAAAACTAAGTCATGCATTGCTGTGCGTGCCTGGAAATCAGTATTGGCATGGCACTCTGCAGCTAAAATTACCTCAGGCCAGTGGGGATCTTGCCTCTTACAGGCTCGCAGCTGGAACTACACAGACATCCTGAACCTTCCCACCCACTGGAAAGGCACACAGGCTCTAAAAGCTCTCGTGAGGAAACACTACGGTGAGGATGTTTGCAGGCTGCCACCAGGCACCCTACTGAGTGAGGCTACAACTAGCACACACGGCACGGCTGAATCAAAAGCCAGGATCTGAAGTCAGCTTACACGAAAACCAAGGAAAGACATCAGGCAGCCAGCTGTGCTAATGTCATGTACCCGTGTGAAAAAGAGCAGGGAAAAATATTGCCTGGGAACACTGTAAGCAGGCTTCATTTTGTGGCAAACAGAGGAAGGCAATTGAGGACAATATCAACAGATGTCAGTGATGTTGCCTGAAATCCAGACTCTCTTTGCGGTACATATCGTGAGCAGATTCTAGGTAATCAATAAGATCAGGAGAATGGAAGTCTGCACATCCAGCCTGTCTGCTGAGGTTATAAATACAGTAACAGCAGATCAGGAACTACTACTAAACAGTATCACACCTTATGACTGTTCTTCCTAATGGTGCTTACTGGTGAAAAGATGTGGCCACTAGCCTGAGATCTTCCCATCTCCCCGTGTCCTTGGAAAGGAACCATGATGGGTACACGCAGGGTGTGGTGTCTTGCCATCACACGTTCAGAAGCATTCCTGTTCCAGCCTAATTTTCACCTGCTCATCCCATTTCCCTCTCACGCTTTCATTTCCCCTCTCAGTACAGTGTCTTTCCTCACGTGCTCTACCCCACATATTCAAAACAGCAGCAGCAACCCCCGAGTTTTGGTGGGACAACTTCAAGACAGAAAGTGCTATCTGACATCACCATTTGCTGGATACGGTGTATACAAAGACTGAATGATTAAATGGTCAGCACTCAGTAACAAACGTACATCACTCCCTTCTGGAAGGTGCCATTCTCCTAAAATACTACCAGGTATATCCCACAGCAACATATTGCTCTGCTCTGTAAGATTTTCAAAAACTTTTCCCACCACAAGAACAAAATAAGAGATTTCAGCAGCACAGAGAAACTCTTCTCTGGTTTAAAACTCAAATCTTGTTTAAGAAGAATAATATCTATAACTGTTTTCAGCAAGATATAAGCAAAGACAAGAGGCAAAGCAAAGGGTAAATCCCAAAGGCCCTACACAGTCCTTCCAACACTGCGTTTACTCCACCAGGAGCTCTATGTGCCTCTGTACAAAAAGGAGCCTTAGGAATGGGAAGAACTTGATCGTTTCACAGAGTAAGAGCAGCCTTCTTGCTTGAACCAGATGGGGTAGCTGAATCTTTCCAAAGGCACAGGACATCCAGCTCAGGCAGGATTGCTCTGGTAAAGACAGTCAATGCTTGACATGGCCCCCCCTGCCCTGCTTTGCTCTCTTTGCTTTCTCATCACACATACAGCAGACACATCCCCCAGTGCAAGAACTTCCAGCTGAGTTACAAATGTGATTGATTACTAACTTGGTTCCTTCAAACTGTCTAACACGCATTCCTCCTGTCCAAAAATAAATCCAGCCAAACAGCTGCTGTGAGGTACAAAGGAATGATACAGCATAAATCCTCCAGGGCACTGCTCCACAAGAGACAGCCGCTTCCCACTTCAGTGCTCCAGGAATACAGACAGGATTCCTCCTATCAGCCTTCCAACATATGCAGAAAAGTTGGTGGAAAACAACTTACTTGCACTGAGGGCTGGAGTGCTGTCATTCAGCTCTCGGGACCAGCAAAGAGAATGGTATCTGAAAATTGAAAGAAAGTGAGGCTTTGATGCCTTGGAAGCTGAAAACAGACTAACAACTGCTGGCCATCTCTTACCCAGACCTGAGCAGACCAAACTCTGAAATAGACACCCTTACCGCTTCGTCAGTACCCAGCAAACCAAGCAACAAAAACCCCTCAATGTACTCAAACAACAGGACCACAAAAGAAAAACAGCTGATAAATTCCTAGAGGCCTTAAAGAAACCAAGTCAGATGAAACCATGCAGAAAGCGTCTTGCAGCTGAGAAACAAATAACCCAGATGCGAGCCAAGAAGGGCTGTGCCGTAATTAGGGAGGTGACTGAACAGTGTCTTTAAGCCATCAGTGCTACTCTGAAGCAACTTCAGGAGGCTGCAAACAGGAAAATCACTGGTCTGGACCTACCCAGTCTCTTTGCCCCAGGTCACACCCCTCCCTTGGGTGCCAGAGCCCTCAGGGGGCTCAGGTTGTAGAGAGCCTGAAGAAAACTTTTAGGTTATTCATGTTTAAGCAGTTTCAGGCAGTAGTGTGAGCCCAGTTAAGAGCTCACAACTGCCAAATGGGAAGATCTCGCCTCTCCTCACTTTTCTGCCCAACCACACTATGCCACTGCTCTTCTGCATTCAGTTCTAGCATCTCCATACGGTAACCCAGATTGGCAAAATGGCAGAAAACTAGCCTAGGAGGGTAAAAATAAAATAAAGGACACTACTGCTAGGTTAGCAAGCTGCTCTGGCTTGCTACCCTGTGATTAGGTGAATCCCAGAACAAAGAATGGCAGGGTGCATAGGAGGGAGAGAAGGTGGTGCAGCTGGAGGGAAGCCTAGGTGGGAAGAGCCTGGCCTCTCTGGGCAAGGCAAGATGTTAACTGGGCTCAGCTACCGTGTGGAACTGCCTATTCCTCAAAGCCATGCTCTGGTACCCCAGCTGCCCCTACCAGCCACCTCACCTCCTCCACAGAAGCAGCATCATGGGCATTGGGTGATGTTGGAAAGCCTGATACAAAGCCTTTCAGCCCTGGGGGTGGCCCCACAGCTTTGACATTCCAGCCCTACGGATTTACAGTATCCAAGCAGAAAACACATCCTAACATGGGAGTATAAAACTCAGTGACCAAGATCACTCTTTCTTAGTGCTAGTTGAAAAACCACTTCAGGCACTTCCTCTGTATTTCACAATCTGGCAACTGTTTTACCTTTGGTATCATCAGCTTTTATTTGCTATGCTAGAGCTTGGACTTCTACACAACTTCCCAGAGCAATCACCCTGGGTATTTTGTACCTTGGGAAATATAAATAACGTGTGGGTTGGGCTTTTTAAAAATTCTATCATGCTGGAACAAAACCAATCAAGTTGCTAGAAAAATGTGTTCCAAACCTGCAATGAGTGTTAGTGTTTCAACAAGCTCCATTTTTAAAAAGTAAAAAAAACAATTCCCTAAATCATACCCAAAACAGATGCCCTGTAACCCAGTCTGATCCCATGGAGCCAAGGTATAGCTCCTGTAATCACAGTTCTTCATGGGACACCTGCAGAATATTCCTTAATTACTCACGAAGTAACCTGCGAAGTGTTAATAAAACAGGCATGAAGCAAAAACAACATAAGCAGAGACTGACTGAAATGTGTTGAAAATTAAAAATAGCAAAAACATCATCATTTATTCTTTAAGCAAGAACACAGTGGACCTCATCACCTGCTCCGGTGAGCATGGTCAGTAAGAGTGCCTTGCTGGCTGCTCCACGCACTCAGAGAATCGTTGAACTCCTGCCCCAGCTCCGGCTGAGGCTCCTCCTGTGCTCTCAGATATTCTGCTACACAGAGCACATGGTTGTAACATGCAGCAGGTTTTGCTCGACAGCCGCTGGCCTTGTCGTAAGCCAGTACTATCTCCCGGGGGCACGCTCTGCTGTCATTCTGCAGCTGCTGAACTGTCACTGAAGCAGCTCTTTCCTACAAGCCAGCTGTCTAGTAAAAAGACTACAACAGCCAAGAAACTCTCTCAGAATAAACAGGGGGAATGTCAACACAAGTAAAGTTCACAGTAGCAGTCATGAGAGTGAACCTACCTTTTATTAAGTAGAAAAAGAGATGAGTTGCTTCTCATTTTTGAATCTTTCCAGTCCCAGCCTGCACTTACATGGATGAGTATGTCTACACGTCAGCCAAGCCTCAAAGCACAACAAAGAAGTATATTTTTCTTTTTCAAATGAACTCGGAAGCCTAGGAGTGAGGATAAGAATGGAGCTACACTCAGCCACCCAAGAGCAAGCTGGGAGCTTCCTAAATGCAAATCAAGTAAGGGTCTCAAGAGCAGGTCACCCTTGATATCCCCAAGCCAAGATAGTTAACAGACAATCAATGACAATGAATTTTCCAAAGGATCAGAAGAATTCTTATGTTGTCACACTTTTGCTTTGTTAGACCCTCCAGGATGCATCTTTTGCCCTTCTGAAGTGCTGCAGGTTGTACCAGATTAATAATACAATCCCTCTCCCCTGGTCAGTGCTGATTTTGAAGTCCCAGAAGCAGTATTGCATCAAGTGGAACTGAGCCAGTCAGTTGTTCCCAGGGGAGCAGATGACACGTTTACATTCTGCCTATCAGCACCAAGCACAAGAAACCCTTGAAATCAAGGTGCCCAGCTGCAAAGCTGAAGCTGTTTGACTGCAACACGAAACACGAGCCACCAAATACTTGCATAGAATATCATTCTGTCCAGACCAACATTTGAAAATAATAGCACCTAAGCAAAGAGAGGTAGATCAAAAGTGTTTGAGTGTCTGACCCAAAATCCCAACTATTTCTAGTTCACCTCTGTTCTACGCTGCTCAATAAACTGCTGGAAAAATCCCGTGTAGTACACAGGGCAACAAAACAGGTCCACCTAGCACGAGGTACCTATTCAGGATGGAGCACCCACTGTAGAAAAGTGACCAGGATGGGGAGAACAATAGTTCATCTAACAGATCTGAGTTGATCAGCTGCAGAGCCACTGCTGTAACTATTCTTTTAGATGATACTCACGCAAACATTCCTATTTTACGAGACAACATGTATGCAAACACCTGAAACTGAATTCAGGGCCTCAGAAATACCAGCAGGACAAACACTCTGTGTGCTGCATACAAATGCACAGAAAGGAAGGGCATGCTTCATACTGCCAGATCCCCTCAGCATCAGCGTCCCAGGAATCCTTCAGGAGGTTCAGGATGTGGATGTGCAGGCCGACAGTACATCTCAGAGAAGAACTGGTTTAAGTAATAATCTTCTCCTTTAACCTTTTATCTACACAGACATTCACACCTCAGACTGTTCCCAGCAGTAAAAGCTCTACCTACCCAGTGTCTGGTAGAGATTGCTAAGCTCCACCTCCAAAAGGTACCAGTGGTATTAACCTCCTCAGACTCCTCAGAGGAAGGAGAAATTGAAGAACCTAAAGAACAGGCTAATTCCATACACCAGAGGAGACAGAATTTCAGGTAAAAATCAATTGCATTCATCCTCTTAACCATGACCTAAAGGTTGCTTTGCTTCTTGTACCACTTGCAAGAAGAATGGAGGTATGGGAATCTTTTGCTTCTGCACATTACTGGTACTAAGTGGGTTAACCCTGAATTTTGCTAAGCTTACGTAATGTGTATGGTATAACTCTTTCATGAGAATGATCTAAAAAGAACATCTAAGTATTATTTTAATATTGTGAATGTGTGTTTCTTGTGATCCAATTTTGAGTTTAATTTTTTTCAGAACAGGCTGTCTGTCAGACAGCTACTGAATATGACTGACAGTTTGGATGTAGCTGCTGTTGGAGCTGGAAAGCAGTGCTAACATCCAGATCACCAGACTCCCTCTTAGTCTGTCCCAAGGAGTGAGAAAGCACAACAATTAGTTATCAAGAGTAAGAAAACAGGTCTACCTCTACAGGTCTCACCAAACCATTCAGGTGCAGGTATGGAAAAGCTAGTGGTTCCAGGGCTTCACTGTTTGTTGTCAGGGCTATATTATTTTGTTCCCATGCTACGAGTAGTCCTATAAATGAATGAGAAAGCAAACAGCCTGGGGACTGGCACCTTTTTTTTTTTTTTTTTTTTTTTTTTTCCAATCACACTTCTTACTTTTTGGTGTTTGTCCCTGAGCCGAGACTGGCACCAGTAACGCCAAAGCAAGATTCTGACAGAGCTCATCTGCCACCGCTGTGTGGGGAAGTTTCAGAATTAACATGAGTGCACAGCGTGACAGACACGACCCCACCTGCTGCTGATTTTTCTGGGGACAGTTCTCTAAAGCATTTATGGGACACACGCAGGGGCCATTCTGTTTTACCTAAAAGGGATAATTCTGAGAAGGTGCCAACTTCAGATCCTCTGCTAAGGAGCCAGCTACTTTCCCCATGGAATAATCCTGGAAACTGTGTTAATCGTCCTTTTTTACTTGAGGCTTGTCTCCAACATACAGCATGCATTCCGTGGTGCACGGGCTTCTCAGAAGCAGTTCAGACAACGCACAACATCAGGAGACGTGAAGTAAAATTCACAAGATAAGAGCTGTTAATCAATGGAAGAATCAATGTCATCAGAAGAAGCACTAAATACTAGAAGTGAAGGGAGGGCAGTGATGCAGCTGCAGATTGAGGAAAGCCTCATGCTCTACCTTCCGGTCAGCTACAAGTTCCACAGGAACTAAGGACATGCATGGGACATGAACACCCTTGTGTCAGGCATGCCCTGTGGTGGGGAAGAACTTGAATACAAAAACTTGGATGTGAATCTCTCCTCTACAACATTCAGCTTCCTACATCACCAGGAAAGGTAGGCACTATCACCGCTGCTTGTACACTCTCACGCTTTGCAGACAAGCTCTTAATAAGCAGACAGACTTCCACAGTTCTATGATAAACACCTATGAATAGTACTGTCATTACAAAATGATTGCTAACAGCGTTGCATCTACCAGTACACAAAATACTCCATGTTAGTGTCAGATGTTTCAAGCACAAAACCATAACCAAAGCATCTGCTGCAATCAAAAGGAAAAATTTGCTTCTGCTTTTAAGTGACAACATTTAAACATGATAGTTAGAAAAACTTCTTGAAATCATCTCTTCAGCTACTTACTACAAAACTCTACCTCTTATAGGAGCTATGTTCTTATTTCAAGACATAATATTTATGCAACATGAATTCTTCATTCTGGAATACGCCTTTATATGTTTATCCTCCAATTTTATTCTTTTGGATGGAACACATTTTGTACAACGAAAAATGGGACCACAAAATGTAAGGAAAACTTCAATACTTAAAGTGCTAAATGAGGGTTCTTACATTTCACCTGTGGATTACTTCCTTGGCTTTGACAGTACTCTGCTTAGCAGGGAGATGCATGTGTGCAACACTCAGGCTAAGAGTATTACTTGGAATTTCAGAAACCTGATCCGAATTTGTTTTGCACATTGTAGCCTTATAGTTAACTGCTACTCGGACAGCCATTCTAGCCATGCTAACCTATCCACTCACATCTCAGTTTACTGGACATAGATGGTCAAAAGATAGAGCAGCAAAAGGAAGTCCTCAGCAAAATAGTTTTTCCAAAGTATGCAATCACACACACACAGACCAGCGATTAGCTAGACATCCTAAGTGAAAACAACACAAAAATTTATTCAATGAGAACAAAAGAATTCCTTTTGAACATGCCACAAAAATTATTTTCCCATAAATATCAACAAAATGTTGTAAAAAAAAACTGTTGTAAACTTAACTGAAATACACATCCACTACATCTTACAAGGTTTGGGAAGTATAACCTGGTTTTCAAATATCAAGTAATAAAGGCAACCTTGTGTCACCCTACCTGTTGCCATTTGCCCTTAATTGCTGGATCTCTGATTGACTGGCAATGTCTCTGGATTTGCTGGATGACACCCTGGTAATATACCATAGAAGAATCGTAATTCCCAAGGAGTGCATATTCTCTTCCTTTTTTGGCATTATCACAAATCTCTGCTAAATTCATCTTCACTCAGAAATCTAAAAGAGAACATAATCACCAGAGAAAATGAGTTTTACATGCTGTAGAATAATTCAGACTGTGAGACATCAGTTTTGTTTTTTCTCTCATAGCTGAATTGTGTCTTTCCACCCCCTGTTCCCACCCAGACCCCTTCTTTTTCAATCATTTAGCTCTGGAGTATCTCTTTACTAGACTAAGGTTTGAGATCATGAATCAGAACTCTTTTATAGTGATAAAAACCACAACTTCTTTGCTGCCTTTGGCCCCAATGCTGTTAAACTAATGCAAAAAAATTAAATGCCCTGCCCACACTGAACCTAACAAGTCAAACTTTAATCTGTAGATCACTACAATATATTAGCAGCCATCAACCCATGAATCACAAATCACACGAGGCATTAAATTGCTTTTTATACTGTTGTATTACATACGTGCCTAAATGTGCCAACCAGCATCAGGGAAGCCTGCACTTAGCACTTTTGAGAGCCCTCACCCTAGTAAGATTACGATATGGTTGAATGATGGCTCTACTACAAAGCTGAGAGCCTCATTCTGTTTAAATAGTCTTTCAAAGTACTCCAACATCCACATGCTGACTTGGATTTTTTTCATTAAATTTAACACGTCACTTCGGGATTTATGGCAGAGTTAGCCATCCAAATTTAAGATTTCTTAAAACTGTGATTCCCAAAGTACGACCTTCCCCTAGTTCCCAAAACAATTTAAGATTTACAGATTTTATTCACTGCAGCATGACTTTAAGGCAAACCCACAGTCCAACTTTTCCCATTACCATTCAAGAAAGTAATATTAAACCACACATTCAAAAGTAAGCTATGTTGTACAGCTAGGTATGTATTTAAGGTTCAAGATCAAAGAAGTGCCTGCCCCTTTATCTGAATCCCAAAGCCTAGGTCCTTACCACACAAAAAGAGCATCAGTTCCTTTCCCTTGTCCTCTCTCTGACTTAGGATGGATGGGTGGGGTCCCTGACATTCACCCAGATATAAACCTCTGAAAATCAAAAATAAAAAATTATGTTTCATAGCTACGCAATGCAAAGAGTTGCACTGACCAAGGGGGAGGAGGTCAGCTCAGGAGGGTTGTCTGCTAGCTGCACTGGGGGTTTGGCAAGACCGAGGCAGTGGAGAAGAAACAGGGAAAGAGGGATACAGCCAGACGGGGAGAGAGCAGGGCGCAGCACACAGTTGAGGCTGCACAGCTGAAGGCAGCCCGCGATACGGGGGTGCGTGCAGCAAGAGCAGGTGGTAGCAGAGAGAAGCCAGAACAGGGAGAAACAACCTTTTCCACCCTAGCGGGTTATAAAAATGTTAGTAGTTTTTATAGAACAGACAAGATCAAGATGGCATTAAGGAATATGTATCTTATGTCTTTGTATTCCCTCGTGCCTAGCACAGCTCAAACCTCTGACAATAAGTTAAACATATATTCACAGGACCTTCAATCTGCCCTCCCTGAATGCTGCCCACAGCAAACACACACACTCTACCTCTCAACGGTGCCAAACTGATGGTCCTTTCTGCTGCCTGCAGCATCACACCAGCTCTGCTCCACCACCTCTTCACTCCTGCTCCCTGCAACTAAGCCATGGAAACCTGCTACGCTCACTCAAACAGACAGGCCACGCAGCTTCCATGTGGCTGGGGGCTCTGATGCCAAGAACACGCTGCTAGCCCACGGCTGGCACTCCATCGAGCGCAGCAAGACACACTGGGGCTTACTTGTCCTCACGCTGTGCCACACATTTCAGCTTGCAGATCATTCCCACAGGCTGTTACAAACTTCTGAGCAGGAGCAGAACTAAGATGGAAAGAGCGATAACCCTAATTTTGTTTTGTCTCGGTGTTGAGGAAGGGCAGAATACATCATTGGAGAGTTCTACCACTGTGGCAATTAAGACCACTCGATTTTAAAATACAGAAGATGATAACTGATAGGAAAAAGTGATGTCGTTTGCACTGCACTGGAAATAGATAAAAAAATAGGAACTGAATATAGATTACATCCCATCCAGATCTCATGAGTCAACTTCTAAATGAATAAAACTCCACCCGGGGCAGAATCCATTGCCCTATCTTCAAACACATCCAGGTTAGGATCTGCTACACAGCCAGCTTGTCCCTGTAATTAAAGTGATCCTCAGAATCTCTGGAGGTTTTCCCTACACGTAGCAAAAAAGAGAGAGTAAATAAAACATTTCTAAGGAACTCCTGCATTCAATTCCTAGAAATCCATTAAACAGAACACATACTTACTTTAGCTATCTCATGTATCTGTTTATTACAGCTACTTCCCACCCTGCAGGTGTGTGTTTAGCTCCCTTTTGCCTTAAGAAGGCTGACACTCACATCCAACTGCCCTTAAGCCCAAAGGAGTGCCCCGCTCACCGAGGGAGACAGCCTTATCCCCAGTGGAAGCTGGGCCAGCCCACGGACAGGAGACAAGGCAGAGCAGCCACGCCAACACGTGCTCGCTTCAGGTGAGTGGTTAGCACAGGGAGCTGGGAAGCGGGAAGCACAAAAACATACATAGTCTTAAAACTGCAGGGGGAGCCTAAATGAGAGTCTCCCTCCCATTTCCACCAGCACCCAAGAGTTTGGGGGCTTCTGGCCTCATGCTGGTCACACTGAAGCCTGACAGCCGGTGCATCACACTGGAGAGCTTCTAAAGATTGACAGGCACTGAAACTTGGAGCGTACGCGGGGGTTGGTGGATATACACGTATGTACCTACTGAGCAGTCACTGCCTCCAGAGCTAGGCTGACCAAAGCCTCTAGATCTTTCCCTTTGATTCAGGCACGTCAATTTTCACTTATCACGTACCCTAGACACCAAAGCAGGTAATATAGCTTGAAAAGATGAATATAACATCACTCATATACCTGAGACATGTTTGAAAAAGCAACCGTAGACCTCAGTCCTAACTCGGTATTCCCCCTGACCCACGGGCAGTTGGTTCTTTGAGGTCCTACTGCAAAAAGACTGGCTATTTTAAACTAATGGTTAAAAATGGTTTAAACAAACTACAAACCTTTTACGCACATCAGCAATGGCAGCATTCATTCAGAGTAGCCAAAGCGAGTCAAAACAAGTATGTCCAAAATTAAGTAAAAATTATTTTTAGGAAGGAATTCTCTCCTGTATTGTTTTCTGGACAATCCCACTCTTCAGCGCCATGGGTGGAGAAGAAGAGGTAGCTAGAACGAGGTGGGGGCTCTTTCATGTTATGTATTTACTTTTTATTATCTGTTCTACATTGCATTATAGAGTTCATACAACCTTGCAAACATCTGAGGAACCAGAAACACAGGAGTCATAAATAGTGCTTTTGTTGCTTGGGGTTTTTTTTGTTGTTTGGGGTTTTGTTTAAATATTTGTTTTTTTCTATGGTATCACAGCCACATCTTTTAAGTAAATACACAGCCAGGGACAACTGTTGTCAGGTGCATTTAGAACAACTTACACATTACTTGTGACACCAGCTTTTCATTCTATCATTGCGTGGTTCTTTCCTGCACTAGACCATAACAGCTCCACTGCACGTCAAGAGATCCTTGGAGATTCCTTAGTTCACGGATCATTGGCAAGAAGAGACATTACAGACATTCATGTCGGCATAGCTGCCACACATGGGGTCTTAAGCCCACTTGTTAAAAACCCTGCAGCAGCGAGGCTAAAAGGTCACAGGGGATATTAATCTCTATTCTTTCAAGCATAAACTGAGCTGATCCCTATCTGGGGTCAGAAAATAATTTTTCTCCCAGAACTAAAGCAGCGCACAATTGAGCAAGATCCAACCGATAGTCTCTATTTTAACATTAAAGCATTGTACACACAGAAATACATCCGCAGGCAGATACAGTGACGGTGTGGATGGTGGGCAAAAGGCAACAGCTTGTTCAGCACACTATTCCACACTTGGGTGCAACACCAGTGAGAATGCAGGACGACTGCTCCCCTTCAGCCCGTCTCCCCCTTAACCTCACCATGGCAGTACCTGCCCTCCCCTAGGGATGGGGTCTGTACCAGGGGGTTTCCTATTGCTCGATATTGAACATTCAGCTCTGAAAATGTCAAAACAAAAAGCATCTCTGCTATCTTTACATGTCTCTCTTATGCCTGTGTTTTGACACAATCAGTTACGCAACTGCGTCCCATTTTCTCCACACAGGCACTCGACTCTTGCACTGGAGGGATGACGTTAAATGAGAAGTTACTCATTTTTGCTTTACTCTTATTGTTTCAATAGTCGCATCAAGTCTTATTTACTGCCTGCTAATCAGACTCCTCTCCAAATCAGTTGTTAGTTCCTCACTGATAGGGCTATAACATACCTGTTTTTTTCTGGACACGTGCCTTTCTCTGACCAAAATTTTACCCAGGCAGACCAAAAACTTTCCACAGCTCCCTGAGATTACTGGGCATATGGTCTCACATCATAGCAGCTGTGCAGTATTGCTGACTGGACAGCTGAACATCTGGAAAGGCCTGGACATACTCAGATGAAGACTGGTTACTAACTCTGTTTCTCATTTTCTGTAAATCAGCCATGCAGCATGATGTCAGGCATCCTGAAATGCAGAGTAAGAGACCTGACTAATGTCACAAGACGGAGAGCCACACTGTTAGGCACCGTGTTCTGAAATCCAGTGCTGAGATACGATTGTACATCTTCCACTTCTACAAAATAGAGCCAGGATGGCCCTCTGCTGCTGCACAGCCCCAAAACAGGTCGATTGCCACACAGAGCAAAGCAAGGAAGCAAATTCCAGTGTTAAGAGGTTTTGATCTTTGGATTTATCCACTTTTCGTGTGCATGCATTTCTATTACCAGAGTCTAAGCGATGAACTGTAGTTGCTCCTTTCTCAAATTCTTACTGGTTGGAAGCTTTTCCTTACAATTAATTTAAATCTGCCCTTCTTAGTTTAAGGCCATATTGCTTTTGTAAACCAGCTTTGACCAGTTTTGAACAGCTTCTTCTCCCTCGATTATGTTTTCACTCAAAATAGTACAATGATCCTATTTTCCATTTTCTCTTCAAAGTTAAAACCTGTTAAAATAGAGACATATAACAATATGTCAATACCTTACCTGGAAAAGCATAAACTGCAACACTAATTGGAACATTATCAGAGGAAGAAAAAAGCACTTTTTCCCTGTGTGACACGCCATTCCTAATAGAAGCCTACAGAAATCTATTTCTGACAGAAATACGGACTGCATTTCTTTTTTATGTGTTTACTGTATTTAATTTGACTTCTAAAAATAAGTTATTCAAAAATGCAATTATTCAGAAAATTTAAATAAGTCTTGCCTGCTTTATTAGAAAGATTATCCCTTTTATTTTGGACTTGAGTGCCAAACAACTGGTCTTCCTTTCTAATAATTAACTGTCCCTGTTCAGAAGCAATCGCTGATACTGCAGACAATTATCAGGCATTACGTTCGCATGACAAAAACAACATTTTAACTGATCACTGTCAGATAAAATACAAACAAACAAAAGGCTTGCCAAGCTCCACAGCCAAATCTATCTTTCCCTGTCAACTTGGCTTTGTTTAAACTTGCAGCTGTGGTCCCATGGACTGGTGTGGAAGCTAACAATCATTACCTCACAGGATCACAACTCCTGTTAAATATATATATATATATATATATATATATATATATATATATATATATATATATAAAGAAGAATATGGCTCAGTTCCGGCTGATTTGAATTTGAGCTACATTTAAATGGCTTCTTGAATCAAAGATGAGAAGTGTGCTACGCCAGTGCTCCTTTCTTTTTTTTCTTCTGCTGTGTGCACCAGCAGTGACAGGAATGGCTACAGCCGCAGCAGCAGCAGCACTGGGGGTTGCAGCAGGTAATGTCATTGGAGTGTTCACTCCCCATTCGACATGTCACTTCAAAGCAGCACACACACCAGATAAAACATATGCACACATCATGGTCCAGGAAACCCAGCACCAAGGGATCTTTCAATTCAGTTAACTGCTTTCCATTAACTGGTTTTTGGCTTCTTTGCACTAAAACTCTGTTTTGAAATAGCAGACGTAGAGTTAATGGGGAAATGTGTAGGGAAGTGGGAAGGAGAAGCAGCGTGCAGGCAGGCCTCAAACTATTTTTGTGTGGAAAATTCTGAGAGCTAACTTGAAACACAGAGTTGAATGTTACTTTAAATGCAAGTGAAAAAAAATATTCAAATGAAGTAAAGACATTCACCACAAGTTAACAGTAAACACAAATACCTAAGAAACCACTAAACAGTTGGTCAGTGTTTTAATTAGAAATAGTATACTATCGCACCAACCAGAAAGCACCCTGGAGAATGAAATGGCCATTTGCAAAGCATTTGAATTACAATTTTCTGAAGAACGAGAAAGAGGAGAATCAGAGATGCACCTGATTCACCTAAATCTGACTGCAGAATGTAACCTTCTCCAGAACACCTAATGTACCAGCTTCAGGCATATCCATACAGTCGCATCACCATTACTCAGGGTAATGAGGTGTTCATCAGTTAGGCTGGGGAACAGAGAGGAAAGCAACTAACACAAACACTGTGGGGCACACTAGGGAGCCTAACTCCATACACACACAGTTTAGGCAGCAAGAGGCCTGCTACCTCCTTCTCCATCTTAGCTCTGATGGGCCCAGGCTGGCTCCACACATCACTCTCCTCTCCAGCACAGTCTCCAGGGCTTCTGGCATTAGCACCACATCAAACCCAAGCCAGTGTTCAAGTGGCACCAGCCCTGAAGGGACCATCCCTCCTCTGACAGGATGCAGGGCTCAGATACCTGAAGGTTTCTGCAGGGCCTGTCCAGAGCTCAACAAAGTGGAAATCGGCCCAAGTCAAAAATCCCTCTGGCCCTTTGTGGAGCCAGCTGCTTCTCTGCACATCACATGCGTAAGCACTTCTGGCAGAGCAAACATGCCATCAGACTCCCAAGATGGGTCTGTGCAGAGCCAGCTTGGGTTCAAGTTGTTTATTAGGTCGGGCTCTGTGCCAAGAAAGGCTGTGAAACTGCTTCTGCACCTGGCCCTGGATCCAGCATCTCCATGTTCCCACAGCGCTGCAGCTCATGAGCCGTGCCAGACCATAGGCAGCTCCACAAAGATTCAGTTCTGGTGCTGCTACATTCCTAGCGCAGCCAATCTGCAACCCAGATAAACTTTCCATGAATAATTGCAGGTTTAATGGACTCACACATGTGTTTATAACCCTGACTCATAAGGTCAGAATTTAGGCCTGAATACTCTTCCACCTTTTGAATTCCCCTCTGAATTCCAAAGAATTGGCTCTTTAGAACTATGAATGCATATTTTTTTTTAATTAG